GGCCATCTCCGCCTTCCTGTCGGGCACCTTCCAGCGCCGGTTCCTGGGCGCCGGGCTGCTGTCGCTCTTCGTGGAGGTGAGCAACATCTTCCTGACCATCAGGATGCTGCTGAAGCTGAGCAACGTCCCGGCGCCCGTGCTGTACCGCGTCAACAAGTACGTCAACCTGGTGATGTACTTCCTCTTCCGCCTGGCGCCCCAGGCCTACCTGAGCTGGTGCTTCCTGCGCCGCGTGGAGCAGCGCGGCCTGGGCGCCTTCCTCACCATCAACCTCTGCCTGCTCAACGTCATGATCCTCACGTACTTCTCCCGCCTGCTGCGCTCCGACTTCTTCCCGCACTGGCGCAAGCGCCCCGGGGCGGGCGGCGAGAAGAAGTTCCTCGCGGAGTGAGCGCGGCCGGGGCCGGCCGGGGGCTCGCACACGCGTCCGCACCGACGTGCCTTGGGGCCGGGGCAGCCGCGGGCTCTGCCTTCGGGCCTCGCCGCCCTGCCCCACGCGCCCGCCGGGCTCCCTGCGGGGCTGGGCAGGCGCGGAGGGTCTGCATCCCGGGGCTGGGGGAAGGGGGTCTCCTGCACCTGGGGGTGTTGCACACATTAAACACGGTTGTTCACCGCTCCTGCGGCAGCTCTCGTGTGTCCTTTCCCGGGGCAGTTGCTGAGCCGGCGGGGAGAAGGTATGAGGGCAGGAGGTGCTGGGGGGCGGCCAGAGCAGGACGCTGCCCGTCTGCTCTGCGCTCCAGCCCTGGCAGCGGGGCACGTGGCCGTCACCAGGGGCCTGCCCCTCACTTTGCAGCCCGTCGGTCCCAAGGAGCGGTCTCTCCCTGCAGTCCTCCCCCAGGCCCGTCTCCCAGCCCCACGCCAACCGGCCCTGGACAGCAGCCCCGTAGGGCTCCTGGGCTTGGGGCACGGAGCAGCCCCAGCTCACGCCGTGGCCCCGCTGGGTGTGGTCGGCTCTTAGGGCAGCCGGGGCCGAGCAGCAGAGCTGAGAAACCAGTTCAGCAGCTGCCACCTCCTGCCCATCCACCCACAGCAGCGAGGTGCCTGCATCAGGCTCAGCTCCAGGCAAAAGCCGCCCTGGGTTTGCTGTGCACTCACCTGCTTCCCTGCCTCTTGAGCCCAGCCAGGTGCCCCAGACCTACCCCGGTGCCCAACGCAGCTGGTTCCCCGCTCCTGCTGCAGGTGGGCCCGGGGCCGGGTTTGCGCGAGGGCAGAGGGGCGCAGTCCGAGAGGGGAGCCCACAGCACTTGGAGCCGCGGGCTCCTGGGCTCTGTCCTGAGCGACCGAGCTGCTCTGGACACGCAGTCGCTGCCCTGGGGGACGTGTGCTTTGGGCAGCTCGTCTGCGCTCTGCCTGGGACCGTACGGGGGCTCTGGGCCCTGCCCCGGGGTGAGCCAGAGGGGCTTCTTGGAACAACGCGGGGCTCCCCTGGGGTGGGGGGGTGACCTAGGTGGGTCCCAGGGTGCGCCGGCCCGCAGCATTGCAGGCTGTGGGGAGAGAGGGCTGGCTGCGGCCCTGGCTGCGTGGGGGAGGGGGCGGCCCTGGCAGCGAGGCTGGGAGTGCCTGGGCTACCCCACGTGCATGGCGGGTTCCCAAAGCACTGACAGAGGCAGCTTTGTGCACACTGTACCTGCTCCGCTGCCCGGCCTGGCAGGGCCCCACAGGGGGGGAGGCCCTCAGTTGCTAGCTGGGCGTGGAGGATGGCGTCCGTCTGCCTGAGAGGCAGGTGGAGGTGTGAGCTGCCAGTCTTCACCTTGCCCTGGCCCCAGAGCCCCTTGCCCTACTCCTGGGAGCAGGGCTGGGAGTGGTGGCAGGAGGCCAGGGGGTCACCGGCAGAGCGCTGTGCAGTCACATGCTCTGCCCAGCCACCGGAGCGGGCACCACTTCCTTTGTGCACACATCCTCCCGCACAATGCGGCTCCGCGGGCTCCTTCCCTGCGAGGCTGTGGCCAGCATGCCAATTGGGCAGAGCAGCACGGGGCAGCCTGGGAGCTTGTGCTGCACCAGGCTCTGGGCACAGCCAGCAAGTGCAGCACCATGCCAATGCCCTGAGTGCAGGGGGGCTCCCCAGGTGCCTCCCTTCCACCAGCTCCCAGCTGCATGCCCCCCTTGGTACTAGCTCTCTGCCAGGGCCATGACAGCCAGGCCCAGCTCAAGCTGCCCTAGCCCCAGCCCTTCAACTTCCGCTGCCCCGAAGGTTTGTTAGCCGACTCAGCCCCAGGAGAGCTGCTCCGAGGCCTTTGGACCTTGGAACAATAACAAGCACTGGCATTAGAGATGATTGCAATACAGATGCCAGGGCTGGTGAACTTGGCCACCACTGCACCAAGCCAGGCTCCAGGGCCAGAACCACAGCCCCTGCACACCCAGCAGCAGGGGCATGGATGGGAGGAGCCGCACAGCCAGCCCCTCTCCAGAGCACAGCTGCTGGATCACCAGGAACAGCCCACAGCAGTTTCCAGCCAGGCCTGCAGTTCCCCCCGGTATAGAGAAGTGGTATCTGAGGCCTCTGCCAGGGCCAGGATGAGCACGCACAATCCTGGAGCTCCTCCACTCTCAGCCCTTTCCCCCCATTACATGAAGGATGTCTCACAGCAGGATCTTCTTCCCCCACATGCCAGATCGCTCCAGGGAGCATCCCAGGGTACCTGCCCCCTGCCCACAGACATGGCGCTGCGGCATGAAATGCCTGCACCTGCACGCCTGGCGCCAGGGCCGCCAACACTGGGAGCTTCTGACAGCTGCAGAGCAAACGCAGCCTTTGCAGGCATGTCTGGACAGGCGTCACGCAGGACGCATCTCACTCTGGAATGGTTACTGCCCAGAGGTCCTCGGGCACCAGCTGCCAGGAAAGCAGCCCCAAGGACACGCGGCTCATCTGCAGCAGGACAGTTTCAGAAGCCCGCCCAGCAGCCTGGGACACCCTGGAGAAGCACAGCATCCAGCTGCCAGGGCACAGGGGCAAGCAGTCCCAGAGGCCAGGCCTCTTGTGAAGGCTGCCATGCAGCTGGCCCCAGCTTACAGGGGACGTCAAGCCTTCCACAGCTGCATGCTCGTGCACTGTTGAGCAGCCCTTGGCATCCACCTCCTGTTCATGCCCTTGAAGAAGCTGGCTTCAAATAAGGAGATCTGCGAATCCCTAACCCTAATCCCCCGCTTCCTGCTAGCAAGAGGAGCTGGGCTGAAAGCTGCCTGCACACAGGCCTGGGGCCCAGCTGGGGGCCTGCGCTAGCACGCTACCCTGAGCCTCAGTGAAGTTGGTCCCTGCCTGGGGAGAACAGAGGTGGCCGCGGAGCAAGGTTACCCACTGGCTTGCTCACTAGGGCATGGTGCCTCCCAAAACACGAGCTTTGAAAGGCTCCAAGATCGTCCTTCAGCTTCTGCTCCAAGGACCAGCAGCAGCTGATGGGGAGCCACTGGCCAGGGCAGAAGCACTGCAATGACCTGCCATTCTGCAAAGGTCCCTCACCCGGCGCGCTATGGCCAGACGAGGGCAGCAGCAACAGCCGGCCAAGGTGTGAGCAGCCCAGCGCATCGGCTTGTGAAGTGCCCACACGCAGATGTTGAGGGGGGTCTGGCTGAGACCAAGGGTTAGGTGGGAACAGCAGCGCACAGTTCTGTTAACTTAAACCTTTCCCCTTCCAAAAAGAAACCACCCTGCCTTTCACAGCATCGACTCGTAGTCAGAATAACACAGTAGTATAATGAATGGATAGACGTTGGCAAACCTAGCCAGGCAAAGACCGGAGCAGAAGGAACAGCCAAATGCGGGACAGGCAGGGCAGAAATAGCAGCCACCTAGGGGCCTGGGCAACCTGGAAGGGGCTGGCAACTTCACCCACGGGCACCGCTTCCCCAGCTTGGTGCCATCACTCCCCTGCAGAGCAGCTCCTGCAAACCCCACAGGCAGCCGCCCCTTCTGCCTCCCCTGACCCAGCTTTGGGGCCTGCACATCTCCCCTGATCCCTCTGCGATTTGGCTTCACCGCACTGAAACAGCCCAGGCACCAGCCTGCCCTCCACCCCGGGGCCTCTGCTGCGAGGTGAGGTTGCTCAGTCACGAGGCGAGAGCCTGCCTGTGGTTTTGCAGAGTTTATTAGGTCCTCTGTACAGCTCTTGGTGGGCGCCGCTTAGATGATTCCAATCTGAAAGGAAGCACAAGGGGTGACATTAGTGCACTGCCTGGGCACAAAGGGGCCCCCACGCACCTCCCCGGAGAAGTTCAAGCCCTGGGCAAACAGCCTTCCTCCGTGGCATGCCAGGTGCCCCCAAGCATACCACTGTTACCCCCGCAGAGCGCCTCCCTATGCAAACATTTCCCACGCAGCATCCCACGATGCTCAACCTCCAGCTACTCAAATACATTACATCCACTCCTCTCCATCTCACCCTACACAGCCAAAGGGGCATGCCCCCGTCTCTCTGGCGCTATACATACAGCGTCTCCCTATGCCAGAAGCACAGGATTCCCATGCCCTCCTGGCGAACCTCTGGGCTTCGTGTTTCAGAGTTTGCTGGAAGTTACTCGAGCATCGTTCCCTTTCTCTAAGGGCAGCTATAGAGAGAGGCTGGTCCTTGCCAGCAGCGCTATGCAGGAGTTATCAGAAGGGCAAGGAAGTTACTCCTCCAGCTGCAAGCGCTGGGAAAATTTAGACAAGCAAGGGGTGGTTACACAGCAAGGGGCCTGGGCCCCACTGCCCTCCTCCCCAAGGCCCTGGATTGCAAGTGGTCAGAGCCCCAGAGCCCTGCACGGGTAGGCCTGCGGTGTGTGCGAACTCCAGCTTTGCTGGGTATCGTTACCTCAATCCAGGGAAACATCCACATGAATTAACTCTTACACCTCTGCCCAGTGACGAAGGCTACCCAAAGCCTGTCAGAAACCCAGCTCAAGGAGGCAGGCTGGCCACTCCCTTCATGCACACCACGGCCACAGCAGACCCCGTCACCACCAAACCGTGGAACGGCTGCCACCGAGGGCAGGACACAACAGCATCATCCTCACCTTGTTGGCTACATCCAGCGCGTCGTAGTCTGGAGCGAGACGAACGTAAGCCTTCTTCTCGCCGTCGGGCCTAGAACAGGGCAAGATGCGTCAGTGCCCGCAGCCACGGCTGTCCCTCTGGCTGTACCGCACTGCCTTGTGCATCAGTGGTTCCTTTGAGCACATCACGGGACTCAGCTGTGATCTAGTTTACATCACCTGCACAAGGCACGGCCCTTCGCGCCGCGAACCCTGACACATTAAAGGGCTTAAGCCCCCCACCTGGCCGCCCACCCTCCCAGCCCCCGCCCAGCCTCGCACCGGATCAACGTGTTGACTTTGGCCACGTCGATGTCGTACAGCTTCTTGACGGCCTGCTTGATCTGGTGCTTGTTGGCTTTGACATCCACGATGAAGACCAGCGTGTTGTTGTCCTCGATCTTCTTCATGGCCGACTCCGTGGTCAGGGGGAACTTGATGATGGCATAGTGGTCGAGCCTGTTGGAAACGCCGGTTAGAAAGGGCGGACGGCGCACCCACAGGGCCCGCGCCGTCACCCCGGCGGCTGGGGAGCTCGGGGTACATCAGTCGCTAAAGCTGCAATCACGAGCTCTCAGGCTTTGGTCGCGTGTAATCATCATCTGTGCCCCGAGCGTCCCGCGCCGGGGCCTTACACGAGCACGGCTCCCGCTGCCCCCCTCCAAGGCAACAACGACCCGCGCCCCAAAACCCGGCGGCAGGCCGGAGGCGCCGGCGCGGCCGGACTTGTTCCTCCGCGGGGCGCCCTTCCCCCG